GCATACAAATTTCAATTTTTACTATGTTTTAATATAAAAAATTGATCTGTGATGCAATACTTTTGACCGCCACTGTAAATAATTTTTTAAAATTTTTTAAAACAAATTTAATCTAACTTACTACAAATTTTAAAATTTTAAAATTATATTGAGATAATAATTTAATAATAATTGATATATTTATTTTTTTATAGAAATATAATTAATAAATAATTAGATTATATAAATTATATAATAATTTTAATATTAAAAAAAAAATAATAATTGCTAATAAAATAAATTAAAAAATTAAAAAAAAATAAATGAATTTTTATTTTGTTATTTATATATTTTCTACAAATATTATGTATTTTCATACAAACTACGTGAAATTAATAACCAATTTTGGCAACATAAGTAAAACCACAATATAACAATGCGTAACGTGATACACAAAACGACCTACCTTAGATCATGCGCTTCTCTTGATAGTTTTCGATATGCCACAATTTCTTCTCGTTCACATCTGAAGTCGTAGTTTAATTTAGTGAGGTAGAGAGAAGTCACCATGCCCAAACGTACAAGGTGCACAATAATTTCCAAATATTTTTTTGTAGTGGCCCTCCTGTCCGTCATAATTTTCTTTATTCTCTGCGATTTACAACTTAATATGCGAGTTTACTGGAGACAATGGATCATAAAAGAGGAATTCAAAGTTGAGAGCCTTCACGAATGCTTCAATAACGTAACTACAGAAAATGAGAGTGAACCGACACTAGTGTACAATAACGTTATCCCCTCTATACCTCTCACTCATGGTTGGGATTGTTTTGACTTTGCAAAGAGCATACGGTTGAAACCAAATCAACCGTTAGAACGAACAATATATCATTCGTATTGGAGAATAGATTTACAACCTATTGGCGACAAACAACTCGCGACTTTAAAGTCATTCTTTGCCACACAGAATGCTAACTATTCTTCATTGATCCTTTGGTCTAACGGCGATCTTTCAAATGATTTAGTTCTCAAACCTTTATTTGAACGGTATCCCGATCGATTTAAAACCTTAAAGTATGACGTTGAAGCGGAAAGTAAAGGAACGCCAATAGAAAATTCTGGAAATCTTCATATAGAAGATAGGCACACTTATTTAGATGGCGATTTAATTAGATTGCTTGTATTGTACAATTATGGTGGTGTTTGGTTTGATATGGATTCACTCTTTATACGTGATCTATCGCCTCTCCTGGAACACGAATGGATTGGTCAATGGGATTGTTTCTTACCAGAAGGATTTCCATTTAACGGAGCATTCATGAGATTCCGCAAGAAATCACCTTACGTCTGTGAACTTTTGTCAGAGATCGCGGTTGGACCAGCTCCCAGAAAAGATTCAGTAGATTGGGGCGCGACTCTTTATTATAAGATATTTAGGCGTCTCATTCAGAATGGGAAAGAACCTTTTAAAATAATTCCTTGGTGTTTCACAGATCCTTCGCTATGTCATCCTAGTAATTCGATGCCTGGTGCATTTAAAGAATCTGAATTCGACAAGGAGAGATTATTGCAAGTTTTTGCCTATCACTGGCATAATCAATGGAATAAAGAGAAAGGGAGTATATTTCGGTTTTTGGAACAAAGGAATAGTGATATATTGGGATTCTAGATCATCATCCATTGATGCACATCCAATAAATTACAATTCGTGTCATATGAATTTGATCACCTGATAACATGTTATTAAAAATACACATGTAAAACGCATACATACACAATAAAAATCACCTAATGTTAAAATATTTCAGTCGTTCACCGAGGATTTCTACGGCTCCACCGAGATCGCCTTTGTTTTCTGTTCAGTATTCACGTTCGAAATCTACTTTCGACAATGCTTCACCGCCCCCCAAACAAGAAAGAATTTATAATAATCTCTCTGTTTGGGATGTATATGGAACTCCATTAGTTAATATCTTTCTTTGGGGTTCGATTACCTACTTCAGCTTACAAATCGCGTGGTATAAATTGGAATTTGCGGAGTATGTCGAAGTAACAGAAAAGAAGGTTGCAACGTTGGAAGAAGAGGTCGGAAGGCTGAAAAAATGAGACGCGAAAAGAGCTATAAAAGATACCGTATCTTCATGTTTCTCTTAAATTGTGAATAAAGAATGCAGAGTATTGTGTACTCGATACATCATCTAAAGACTTTATATCCTATTGGTTTGTTGTGAAGAATGTTCAAAGAAAACTGTCGTTTAATATATAATTCAACTGTCAGCCTGCAACAGAATATTCTTTATTATTATCATATTTCACGAGAATACCCTTCAATCCTCTAAATAATCATCTTTCTTCAAATTTCTTGCGAACGGGGGAATGAATTTTAAATTTAATGCTTCAAAGACAACACCTTCACTTGTTACTGGAATTGGTGGACCAATTTCACCAGTATTAGGGTCTTTTCGTGCAAATGTTGTGTCATTTAAAAAATAATTGTTTTCTTCGGCCTCTTTTTGCAAAAGTCTGTAAAATTCAGCATTTCCTGTCCGTGCAAGAACCCCGAGCCAAAATTGTTCATAGGGCAAAATTCTGATCAATATTAAATTCGTTAGCCATCATTAATGAATAAGCATTAAGAGAAGATAAATGGTTGAATTACCGAAATTCAATTAGTCTATGCAAATGAGGATTTCTTTCTGCATTCGTGCTTGGAAGTTGGCAAATCGCCTGCACACAAATAAATAGAAAATTCTCAGTTGTATTCGAGAAAAAAAAAAACTCTACGACCGTCTATCATCACCATAACTTACACTAAATTTCAAATTCCCTCTGTGTAGATAATCGGTGCAGAATCCAGAATTTTTTAGATTGTCCAATATTTTTTTCAACATATTATCACCATTGATGATGGTTTCCAACTTTGTCGTAGACTTGAATTCTGAATGCGTGATAAGCATATTTAAGTCCCGGCATGTGATTGCACCACGACGACTATAGAGAAGCGCTTGAACTATTGAACCATAAGTCATGCGAAGGAAGGAATCAAATTGATAGCAATCATGGAACACAATATAAGCTTACAAGCTACCACACAGAATGCATTTGTACTTTACGTCCATCGAGGCTAGATTTTCAGCGATAAATTTCTAAACGAACAATTCTAATTAATATGTTTTCTTGGCTCGTGAAATTTATAGATTGAAAAGACTCACTATCAACGATTCTATTTCTTCCCTCGACGCGTCTTGATCAAGTTCAGAGACGTACTGAATTCCAAATTTTTTATATGGTTCTATTTCTGGGTCGTTCATCACATCCTCCAAGGATTTATACCCTTTTTCGACCAATTTTTGTGCGTCCTTTTTTCTTCATAAAGTTCAGATCAGTTTCACAAACGAATGCAAAAGTCTCTTTGTTGATCATAAACTTGTTATTTTACCCAATTTTTGGTACTTTCATAAAAAGATCTATAAGTTTTCGTTGTTTTCGTTGATCGCCATCTTCCCATAGCTGCGAACACGTACCCTATTATCATTTTATAGAATGTCGAAACTTCATAATCGATTTCTAGAAGGATAAGGTTCACTTAAAACCACGTACAGTTTCTATTATTTCATCTATTTTACTAGAAATGCTTTCGCCAATTCCTTTAAGTTTTTTCGCCTCCTTCCCCGATGTGATTTGTTTAGGATATTCGGAAATAGACTTTATCGCTAACTTGTAAGCACGTTCTCTATACATATCACCGGAATCCATTTCTCTCTCTGCGAGTTCTTTAAATCATTCAATTAATTAATTGTCTGGTTAAAGCTGAAGTAGACGAAAGTTAAACCCACCATTTAAGACCTTAATGATGTTCTCATTTAAATTTCGGGATAAATTGCTACCCTCCTCTTTAAACGATTTGGTGGTAGTACACGCATTATCCTTGTATGTAATTAGGGTCGCATGTTTGATATGCTGATATTTTGTAAAAAACGCGTGTTTCTTAGGTTTTAAGTATTGAGGTAGAGTAAGTACACTTGTCGTCAAAGTTCCATATGTGTGATTCAACTTTAAATTGGCTGACTTTGCTGGAATAGTTTGAAAGAATAGGAACTGAGCCAATTTAAATAAAACTTTCCTTGGGTGTCTAGATAAGAATGTTTGCATTGAAATAAAATTTGGAAAATACCGGTGAATGGAATAATTAAAGATAAATTTTTAAAGATTATCACGATTATCAATTCACATTCTACTTTATAAAATACCTGTCTATCTTCTATTTATCTTCATTTTACTGAGATGTCTTCTGAAAATACTCCACCACCTTCAAATACCTCAATTACCACTTTATCTTCGGCGTTTAACACCACAACTTCTGCAATTAGCAATACGACTTCTGCTCTTACCTCCACTTTGTCTTCCTTAACTTCTAGTGTACTACCCTTGGCTTCAGCTCAACAGCAAACCCCTCGTCAAACGTCGACAACTCAGCAACCTGAGACTATGAGAAATCAACTTTCTCCTTCTCTAATTGATGGTGTTAATCCTAAACAAAAGAATGTGAATAATGTGACAGCAGAAATGTTTAACAAAGTTGCTGAATATTTAAAGGGAGAAATGTTAGGTAAGTTTGTTCATAAATTATATATATATTACTTATATCATTCTTGGATCAAGCTCTTATTTTCTTTCTTCCGGATGCAACCACTTAGCGACGAATGAAGATTATAAACTTTTAGAAAACATGAATAATGTCACGCGGGATCGATATAAAGAAATGTCCGGGATGGCACAAAATTTGGTCGTGGAAATGGCCAAACTTCAAAGGATTTGTATGACATCTTAATTTTGATGACGCGTCTTTCGTTAGATATCATCTGATAATTTCATCAGATCAAAATTGTTTCATCCGTTCTACGGTCAGACATTGATATCGAACCATATATCCAGCAAATCGATGAAGTATGTGAGCAAATTGATTTTTTGGAGAAAGTGACGAGCGAGTTGGATGATTACTCTAAGGAATTGGGTGAGATTTTTTTCTAAATAAATGATTAATTATATTGTTTTGTTATAATGTAATAATATAATTAAACTTATTTAATATTAGAATCACGTCTGAAGAAGTTTTCTAAATAGAAATTTTAATTCAGTCCTGCTACGGACGCTGTAGATAATTTTGTACATTAAAATTTACGCTAGTTTTTATAGGAATCAATCAAATAATTGGTGTAGGGTACACTTTTAGCGAAGAATTGTATTCTTTGTTTGTACCTTGGAGCAGACGCGGGAAAAAAAATAGAAGCCTCATGATGTAATATAATGTTTATTTCGTCTAGTTCTCTTGAGCAAAATCGAACTTTAGATTTTATTGGGGGGTCTTACAATTATGGCTGATATCAAACATCCTATGTTCTTTTAATTAGAATGAATCACTTTTTGTACATTGGCAAATCTATTTTTTACATTTACTTGCACATATACGTATTATAATGTTTTAATATTTTACAATTATAATCATTACTATAACAAAAAATTTTATTTGTAATTATTTACAATATCAGCCATTAATATTATATTTTATTATTCATTGTTTATTTTTTGTATTTTAAATTTTCTATTACTTAAATCCTTGATATCAAAAATAAACTTGAATGAATTTGTTTGCTTTATTACAAATTTTACAAATTAATTTTTATTTATTTATTCGATCAATATATATATATATATAAACAAAACAAAACAAATTAAATTAAATTATCAATTTCTTTTCTTTTACAAGCAAATAAAAAAAAATTATTTGAATAAATAAAAAATATTAAATTTATTTAAAATAAATAAATAAATTTCAGATACACACACGGTATATACAAAATTCATAAAGTTTTTTATATACAAAAAAAATTATTAATTATGTTATTTTTTTTTTATATAAATATAAATAGATGTACATGATAATAATAGAATATATGCTATGCTTCATAATATAAAAAATAAAAAAATACTGTATATTTTTTTTATTATATAAATCATTTTTTTAATACATTGTATATATTAATATTTATAATTTTCATTTTTTAATTAACAATTAATTCATAAAAATCATATTATGGATTTTTTTTAAAAAAAATTATGTAGATGTATATGTATTTTCTTTTTGTTAATTTTTGTCAAGTGTAAACCATTTTTAAGAATCACATCTAATCCATATTTGAATTTGAAATTGTTAAATAAATTCATTTGTATTATATAATAAACATGATGTATTGTATGTTTGATGTAGAAAAAAGAATAATTTATGAATAATGGGACGAAAATTTTGAAAATAATACTACAAATGTTACACTGTCTTAATAATTTGCGCTTCCTTATGTTCTCCATAGATGGACACGTTGAACAAAGTACGTACAAACCCTTAAAATGTCTAATGGTGGTCAGACCGTTAGCAACTTCGGAAATTGGTTGACCATTTGTTATATTGTAACTTTCTTTCTTACTTTCTTTTTAAAGAAGTCTGCCACATTCCTTCCGGTAAAGAATTTTTTTCGTTTTTCAGATCTCTTAGGGTGTGCCTGCGAGGCCTAACGTAAAAATTTCACCTTGTTCAACCGTTTTCATTCTTTACATAATAGCGCAAGTTTAGTAAAAGTTTTTATACTAAATACTAAATATAAAAGGTAAGTAACTTTTATCTTGACACATATTATTTTCCGGAACCTTCTTTCCAGACAAATCTCTACCATCAATATTAGTAGAAAATTATGAGTCCAAATAACTTTTTCGTGGAGCATCATATTAACGATTTCGGTACCTTTTGTAGACAATATAAACCATTCTTCATACACATCCATTACACCTTCCCTTTCAACAATCAACTCCCTTCATACGTAAATCCATAGAATATTAAAATGCACAGACAAAAGCAGCAGTCAATGTCAGAGATTAAACTCCGTCGGCTAGCGGAGCTTAATCAGCGACTTCGTGAGGATTTAGATCGCCCACGAGTGAGAGTTAGCGAAGCTAGCAATAGGTAAAAACTTTACGGAAATTAGATATTCCAAAACGAGATATTAAATTGCTCGTATTTTCTAAAAACAAAAAAAAATTTTTTTTTTCTCTCGTTCCATCGCACAGTTTAATCACATACTGTAAGAACACTCGAGATTTCCTGGTACCATCCGTTTGGGGACCAGTTGATAAGCGTGACGATCCTTACGTGATGTCTGGTGGTAGCTGCCATTGTAATATTATGTAAAAAGGCATTACCTTTAATGTTTCATCAGGATAATACGGTTATTCTGCTTCGATACGTCTTCACTATTCCTTTCACTTTGTTATGCATTATTATTACACCTTGGCATTAGTAAATGTTTTATTAGAGAGGGTGTCTTCCTTTCCAAGAACCGTTACTCCATTTTTTTTAGTCGTTTTGGGATAATGGGAGTTGTGTTCCTTCGGAAAGGTATTTCACCTCCCTATAATATAAAATTGTATAAATTTAAAAGGAAAAACTTCTATCAAGTCATGTTGATAATGGATATTATTTTTGTATATTAATCAACTTATTGGCATTATGGTTTTAAACTTCGATCAATTTAATAATAGAAATCGTGTTTACAAGGTAACGAGGAATATATGGGTTGTTCCTTTTGTAACGTGTTAGAATTAGTATTTAGTCTCTTCTTTCTTTACTATAAAATTATATATCATCTTATCCCTTTTATATTTGGGTTTACAGTTTTCTATGGTTTTTTATGATAAGTTTATTATTCATTGGCCGTAGGACATCTCATTTTTCTTTCTTTCTTTCCTTTTCAAATGTTCAGTCGGTTGAACCAATTTTCTCACTCACTTTGCATCATTTTTATGTTGTTACTGGTCTTTCTAAGTAGATTTTGTTATACGTAATGGTTATAGATAATATCAAAATATATTTATTACAAAGGTCATTTTAAATGTTGAAAGTTGTATTTTTGTTTTACATTTATACAAATTGTGCTTATAATCGTACTCAGCAACCTTTCTAATAAATTAAAAATAATTATTTAAATCAAATCTCAGTAAATTTTCATTTATTAATTTAAAGTCAAAATTTTGATTAATCAATAAAAAGCTTTCATTCATCTCTTATTAATAATCATTATTTCAGTTTTTAATAAATAGCTATACTTAAAATAATAACTTTTTTTTTTCAATGATGGCTTAAATCACCTTTATTATTCTTTTATACATATTAACCTTTTGATTAATTGTAAGTTTAATCAAATTATTATATTTTCATAATTTAATTATATTAATTAATATCAAGTAGACTAATTAATATATCAAATAAACTTATTAAAAAATAATAATTCTATCATTTTTTAAATTGTATTATAGATAATTTGTTTATAATTTTATATTTGCCAATAATTGATTTATAAATTAATTAAAATTTTGAATTTTAGTTATATTGTTATATAAAAATTATATAAATAATTATTTTTACAAATTAGTTTAAAAATATTTAATTATTTTTTTATATTAATTAAAATATAATATACAATATATTTTTAATTTTATCAATTTAATTTTAATTTATAAGATTTTTATTAATTATTAATATAAAGGTTTTTTTTTATATATAATTTTTTTATAAATATAATCTTATTTAAATTTTATAAAACTTTTTTTATTGATTCTTTTGTCAATTCAAAAAACATATATTTCAAAAAAAAAATTTATTTTCTTGTAATATAAATTTATATATTTTCTTTAATAATATTATTATTCAAAGGTTTTTATTTTATTTATTTATTTTTTTTTAAAAAAAAAATAAACTAAATATAAAAAAATCTATTATAAAATTAAAAATAAAATAATTTTATTAAAAAAAAAACATATTAAAAAAATTTCAAACTTTTTTAAGCTTTTTTTCTAAATATTTTAATTTTCTAAAAAATTTATTTACTTTAATTTTTAATTTTTAATTATATTAAAGTTTTTAAATAATAATTAATTATAAATTTGAATTAATTAATTAATACAGTATATATCAAAAAATATAAAATATATATATTTAATTATTTTATTTTACTTTATTTATTTATTTTTGCCTTTAATTAATTACAAGTCTAAATATTTATTAATTTTTTAAATATATATTTTTTTTTAATCCTACAATCAGATTGGTATCATATATTTATTAAATTATAGAGAATTATTATATGCACGAGAATATATACAAAGTACAAATTTCCCCAATCCAACTTACCTGTCTTTAACTGAAGTCTCTAGATGCGATTTATGGAAGTAATATACATTGTATTGTTTCTCTAAAGGATGGAATTAAGATTTTGAATTTTTGATAAAATCAATACCTGCAGATCACCTCCACAGTCATGACCATAAATCTAAATTGTGTCACCTCCTCTTATAGAAACTACATAAGGGGAAAAAGAAATAAAAAAAGGAATTTTTTAATAAAGTGAAAAAAAAAAAAGCTATTATCTATTTTAATTATTATTGAAAAGATTATTTTAGTGAACTTAAAACCCAAGCCTCTCATGCTTTCCCATTTCTCATCACCTGTGGCCAATTAGACTGTTTAATTTCCAATGGAGTAGTCGATGTTCAAAAACATTTAAAGGTACTTTCAGAAAAGTATTTCTTGAAACTTTATACTTAAAGACTTCCAACTAGAAAGAATATTAGTTTCTATTATTAATTTCTCTTCCAAGCCATATTTTCTGGAATTATAGCTTTACTCAACCAATAGATAGTTTCAAGATCCCTTTTTCTAATCATTTTCAGGATAGATATCGATACTTTAACTTGTTATCAGATTGGGATAGTACCTAGACCTTGTTGCTATTTCCTATCCTTAAGAAAAAATAGGAAAGCAAAAAAAAAAAATAAAAGGATAGAAACAAAAAAGATTTGCTCCTCTTCTTCTCATAACTTTAACTTGAAACCATCCAACTCTTTCAGGAACCAATCACATCATCGGTTTGATGTTGCATGACTGGAAACACGTAAGGAATATATGTCCTGTTTACTTTTTCTGTGATTGACGTAATCAACCAATCCATAACCTTGACCAATCATTTTTCAGAAAATCTGGTGTGACCAAAAAATTCAAGATCAAACTGAGATAGGCAAAATTTCTCAGAAAAACCAGAAAAAAGGAAGCACACTTAAGAAAAAAGAAATAGGAAGCCAAAGAGATAATAGAAAGACTGGAGACTTCTTTATTCTTGTTTCTCTAGATTCTTGAATCTTTTAAAGATCTTTGGAGGATATTTTTTCTTGTCAGTTTTTTTCCTATAAAGATGTTCTTTTCGTAGATCTTTTAAATGGGTTTCTTGTATTTAGTCACAAAAATAAACAAGAAAAGTGTTTTGAAAAAGAAAGATAAAACAAGTGATAGCTTCTGCTCACTTGGTTGGTTAAAACCAGTATTGTTTTTAAGAAAAGTGTATAAACTTTATTATTATAAAGACAAAAAATCTTTTGAGAATATCTGTTTTTTGGGTTGGCAAAAGGATCAGTAAAAAAAGTTTTTTTTTTTTTTAAGAGCTAAGGTGTGATACACATGAGAATTTTTATTGTAAGTTTTTATAGATTACAATTAACCATTACATGAACAATCTATGTTTAACTGACACACCACTCTTATTCTAATTCAAGTACCAACTTACACCATGGAGGTAAGTTCATACCTGAGCATAGACTTCAGAGGACTTTTTTGTTTTATATTTTTTTTTTACCTGTTAACTATCACTAGGGTCCCCTATCACTTAACCTGACAACACACATGCTTGATATCATAGAGCTTACTTCTTTACACTTTCTAGTAAATGCTCCAAGAGTTTTCCTATGGTTGGTACACACTATCAAATCTGGAGGTTCAGTTGCTAGCCAAGTGAAGCATGACTCCTTAAGGATTACTTCTTACTCTCCCAGTAGACACTTCGATATGTTTCTTAGTTAGCTTAGAGTGCCAAATCTAGAAGTACGAATACCAAGCAAGGCGCAACTCCTGTAAAGTGGCCATGAATCTCTAAGCATGTCCTGTAAGATTTCAACCCAAAAGTGATCGTTAGTTGCCTAATGGAGTTAATAGGGTTTTTCTTTTATAGTCTTGTGGACTATAGAAGAGGAAGCGACCAATGTGGAACTGGGAAATGCATCAAGTGCAATGTCGATCATCATAACACCAGCCGGATGATCAACGCTATACGACACCTTTTCTGGAGAACACAATCTCAACGCCTACTGAATCAGCATGTGAAACGGCTTCGCATGAGAAACAACATATAACAGGTTATGGTGCCAGATACCATATGGAACTGTTCAATCGCCTTCACCTAGGATTGAACTAGTATCTTATGATCTGACCTGTGGAGTGCTAACCACTGCATTATGGACCCACAGGGCAATATTTATTAATCTTTTAAATAACATACAATATACATGTATATAGTATATTTGACTAGTTGGATTATATCTATATATTCTTTTTATTTAATTTATATATGCTTTATATTAAGTATTATAGAAGGAAGCTACCTATTAATTACTCTAGATATCACTAGACTACATTAGATTTTATTTCATGTCAGCTTGTTGCTATTGACTATAAACTTGGAAATTTATATATGTCAAGGCTAACATGCTAAAACTTTATCAGTGTCATTATTATATATGAAAGGTTCTATTTCTAACTGAGAATATATTAAGGGAAGTATGAAGAGAGGAATTGGGAATAGTATCTATTAAGCAAATAAAACCCCTGTAGAGAAAATTCTTCTAAACCCAACTACTTGCAAATAAATATACTATTTAATTTTTATCTTTTTAAAGCTACTCAAGAACATTCAAGAAACTTATCTTACAGACTTACTGTTTATAAATTGCTTCAATTATTTATACTTATTGTTGTTTTGGCTGTCTTCCTAGGATAGGTAACTGTCAGAGCTATCTATTACTAGATTGGAATAAGACCTTTCTAGAAACTTGCAGGAAGAAACACTAGGTATCATGAGAAATAGTTACTAAACCATTCTACTGAAAGTGGACACCTTATATACCTTACAACTTCCAGTAATTATCATAACACCAACCAGACAATTATTGCATCATAACACCTTTTCTGGAAATTACAATCTCAATGCCTGCTGAATTAGCATATGAAATGACTTCTTATAAAAAACAGCACTTATATATAGGGTGATTCATAATTTTTTGAAATTGTATTTTTAATATAACTCTATT